GGGTCTGGAAAAAGCCTGTCTGGACGGCAAGGCCTGAGCGGCTCCATCCCGACACCCTCGGGATGCTGCGGAGCACGGTGGGCAGCAGGGGACTCACCAGGCGGGGCGACCATCCGCTGCCACTTCTGGAACAGGCAAGTCTTGAGGCAGTCCCGGGGACTGAGGCTGTAGGTCTTGTGCCGTGACATGAGCTCCTGCATTGGTTCTAGGATTACACAGAGCTGCAGGAAGCAGTCAGAGACTCGGGTTAGATGGCCACACTTCGGGCCCCAGCAAGAGCCCCTCTGCCCTGCAGCCACCTGCATTGCCCTTGCTCAGCCTACCCTGCCCAAGGCTGCAGATACATCTGTCCCCAACAGCCCAGGGCAGGTGGCATCAGGCTGGAGACGAGAGCACAACACAACCCGTTGCAATCTGAGGTTTGCAGCTGTCCCCCCCCCTCTGCCTTGCTGCCCACTTACTCGGAGGTAGTTGAGTGTGGAGTTTGAGAGCCCACAGCGGGTGATATTCTTGGATAACTGGTCCAGCATCTGGGGGTCCTGTGCCTGTGAGCAGGAGGGAGAGAGAGCTCAGCTGCATCCAGGCCAGGGACTTCTGTGCCGCAGCCTGTGATCTCCGCAGGGAGATGAGCTCAGCAGCTCCGTGTCACTCGTGCCCACGGGGCCTCTCGGAGCAGTACTCACATGCATGGCAAGGATGCTGCGGGGGATGAGCTCTCGATGCTGGCGGATGCTGAAATGCCACGTCTTTATCCTCATCATGTCATCAAACATGAACTCCAAGTAGAGCCGCCCCTCCACGCACACCTGGGCAGGGCACAGTGTCAGGTCAGGCTGCCACCCTCCTCCCACAGCCCACAGCTCCTGGGAACTCATCGCTCCAGCACACTCCCTGCTCCTCCTGGTTTGGCCATGCTCTGCGCTGCCAAACCCACGAGGCTACGAGAGCCAGTGGATCTGTGCAGAAAGGCAGCCCGGGGCAGGTGTAGTCACAGCTCGGTGCTCCCTTGTGCACAGCCCCATCTGCCCAGCACATGGCAATGAAAATCAGCGCCACTCACTCACTCTGCGGGACCAAGGCCACTGTGAGGGCAAGCCAGGCTGAGGCACTAGGAGCAGGATGGCTGTGGGGAGAAGCAGTTGAGGTTCTGCAGGTACCTGGGTGAACATGGGCTTGCCATGCTGGGTCACCATGGTGCACTGGTCACAGTCCAGTGAGACGAAGTTGTTGTGGAACGACTCCTTGGGATGCTTGAGCACGTAGTAGAGCTCTGTGGCTCCCCCTTCAAAGATGCTGCGGAAGTAACGGGGAAT